TTCATCGTCTTCCCGCGGCTGCTCACCCTCTTTCCCGACCTCAACGAGTCAACAAGAGAAAGAAACTGGGCGGTGGCACTGGACCTCAACCAAGCGCGCGCCCGGAGTTTGCCTCCGGGTTGAAACTTTCCGATGCGGTTCTGTGGAGCAAAGAAATGGCAGTGCAAACGGATGTGGAGGCTATCAGTATACTTTGAAAGGCATGTGTGGAGTCCATGACGGCGGTCCAAATTTGTTCGAACCGGCTGCAGAGTAGGACAAATGAGGTGCAGGCAATTAACTCCCAGCGCTTCTGCTCCAACGCTGTTAAGGATGCGCGTAGTCAGATGAATAAGCGTGCTAAGGGCAGAAAACTAAGGAGCTAAGCGGAGGCAGGACTGAGGTTCGATTTTGAGGCTCCGCCAATATGCTGCAGTGGAGGTAAGCAGGGAGTATGATAGTGGCCCAGTGGAGAGTGGGAAAACATCGGAGGCAACAACCGTCAATAGGGTACGCCAGGACGGAGGCAAGAAGAAGAGACCGGCGCGAATAGGCGAGAAGTGAGGTCGGTTGGTGGCCGTGGCTGCAGAAAAGAAAACAAATGTTGTTGTTTGTTGTTGTTTTTTGTTTTTTTTTTTTTTTTTTTTTTTTTTGTAAAATTGTGATCGGGGTTGATCCGAGATGAATAAAATATGAATTTGGTGTGCAAATGCTATTATATGGTATGAATGGAATTGGAAAGATTAAAAATAATGTGAAAGAAAAAAGAAAGTAAAAATAATAAAAATATATTTGAAATCAAAAAATGAAAGATGGGAGAAATAAGGAAGTGATTTGGAAAAAAAATGAAAAATAACGGAGTTTGAAATCAAACGGAGGAGTAGGGTGATTGATTTTTTCTTTTTATTTTATAAGAAATATATATATTAAAAATAAGAATTTTATAATATGTTGTCCTGATGCTTAAAATATATATAAAAAAGATATATATATATTTAATAATAGAAGTTGTGAGATAATGATTTTGTGTCCCTTAGTGGCTCTATGGGTATTCAACTCCACCGTGACCAAAGAAAAAACACAAGCAGCTGTAAGCAACACTAAAAGACATTGGGTATAGAGAAAGATGTTTTCTCTTTTGTCTGTTTCTGTCCCCACCATCATCATAAAAGAAACAGAGAGTAGAGTGCCATAGCACTTCAACATATAAATGAATCATTTTAACGTGTTCTGTGAACTTCAATGGAGAACAGTGAGCTCAGTTTGATGGACCCATAGTATTCTGCAGCTTCTCGTTGGTGGAACAACCACTGGAGACACCCAGATTCTGCTGCGAATTGAGGAGGCCCAAGTCAGAGAAGAAGATGGAGAACAACAAGAGCAGTAGCAGCAGCACCGGGGGCGGCGGCGCTGAGGAGCAGAACCACCGTACGCCGCTGGCAAGGGTGGTTTCCGATTGTGCGAAGCGGTGGTTCCAAAACACCCTCAAGGATGCCAAGGAGGGAAGAATTTGGATGACAAGAGCTTCTAGAATTAGATCCTCAGTTTGGAAAGTAAGCAATAAACGCCCAGGTAATTTCTCTCTCTCTCTCTCTCTCTCTCTCTCTCTCTCTCTCTCTCTCTCTGTGCGACTGCTTGCTTGTGCTCATCCATTCCTGTGTGCATGGTCATAATGTCATTAATTGTGCTACATTTGTTGACTGTATGGCCATCGTAGGTTACAATGTAAGTGATTCTGATTCAGATGAGCCAGAGGGAAACTCCTGATTAGACCAACTTGGCATTTCCATCTAATACAATGGTGGTGTGTTTTAAGGAGGTGCCGAGAGGGAGAGGGAGGTTTGAATTGGTTGAGATCCGGCGGGCGGTCAAGGCAAGGTTGCCGCCCGCCGGAAGGCGAAGAACACCAAGATCTTTAACCTATAGCTCTGATACCATGTAAAAAATTGATGTATATTATTGATTGATGAATTGATATATTCTGTCTATTACAAATGGTTCTTTATATAGATGTAGGTGTAGTGGGTTAGGTTTAGTGGAGTAGGTGAGGTGGTAATGGTGTAGTGGGTTAGGTTTAGTGGAGTAGGTGAGGTGGTAGTGGTGGTAGGTTTATTGATAAATTTTAACACACAATATTTGAGTATTATAAATTAGTTGGTGTGATGCACCTCTTATTTGAGATTGTGTTTGTGTTGTATTCATGTAAATTGGAGCAAATACTATGTACCATGTTCTTGTAGGGAGAAGACTACAGTAGGGGACCTGAAGTCCCAAATTGAAATTGGAATGAAGTTGAGGGAATCCTTGATGTGCTGGTAAAAGAATAGACCACATGGTTGATAAAGGAAAAATTGTTTCCTGAGGTTTGAGAAATGAGCTTGCTAACGTGAATGAGTACTCCTATGTTTCTGCACCTGTAAATCGAGGTACCTGCCTGATTGTGTCGTTGACCAGAGGGCACTCTGTTGCTCAACCAAAATGGCCAACAATGCTCTAATGATCATAACCAAAAACCTCATGCCTTGATCCTTGGAGGTGTAGCCTTTATATAGGAATGCCATCCTGCTTCTAAATGTTTGCTTTTCCATTTAGGAATACACTTGCCCAGCAAGTATTCCCTATCCAAGATACTTTTCTAATTAGATTGTCGCGACTCAGAGGTTGCCATCAACCATGAGGACACCACTAATGTGAGAGCATATCACCTCGGTTGGATTACTTTATGCCCACCACTGTGAGAATTTTTGTCGGCTGTGTCCCAGACCTCAAGTTACTTAGCTTATGTGAGTACTTCACTCTAAAAGCTATTATGGATACCTTGAGTGAACCTTGTTTGTGGTCCTACTAACCTTGACGAGGCTTTTTATCAGCTTCTTGCCTTTGCAAGGGACATTTCTTTAATACATTCAAGTTGACCACAACCTGCCCTCACACCAATTGAGCCCTGGAAGTGCACCCAAACATGTGTTCTTTCCCGAACTGGGCTTTTTCTTCTCACCTATCTCGACTGAGAATACCATTACTTCAGGGCCTTGCCCCAAGACAACAATTTACACAAACAATTGCCTTCCAAATTATTGAGCCTATATGCTCCAACTTCTGTAATCGTCGTTACTCTATATTCTCATTGCTCTCATGCTGCGGCTTTTATCTTTTTACAATGGATTTCAGTGAACTTGACCTTAGATATGGCAATCTTGGGTATTCTTCTAGCGAGTATTGCTCGGATGAGCTTTGCTCTTCTTGAGCATGGAGACTTATCTTCTCGAGCTTCACCACCTATCCAGTGAGGACCTCGAGGACACGGTTGTGGTGCGGCACTTCTTGCATCTGTGATAGCTACTTTACATCCTTAGCCCCATTGGCCTTCACTTGTGAATTTGTTCCACGTTGTGACCAATTCTATTGTCCTTCGCGTCCTCTTCGCCTATGCCTTTGTGTTGAGCTTTGGTACATCTTGTCCTCGTTTCTCACAAATGGCACCAAATTGTTGGTAAAAATTGGACCACATGGTTGATGATGTGAATTAATACTCCTGAGCTCTACATCTGCAAAACTAAGGTAAGCACTTGTTCAATCTTTTCAGCGGCCAGAGGACACTTCAATGCTCAAGTCAACAACTCCTCGAAGAACACCAAAATGCTCAAGAATGCTCTAATGCTCTTAACTAGAAACTCATACCTCAACGCTTGGGGGTGTAGCCTTTATATAGGAGTGTCATTCCACTTTTACAAATTTTCTTTTCCATCTAGGAATACACTTGCCTAGCAAGGACACCTTCCTAAGTAGATTAGGTTCTACTTCTTAAGGTAACATTTCCTTATCCGATTAGCTGGTTCCTTCTCACACTAAGATGGTTAGCATGGACATGTTTTGGCCAATGATCAAATTTCTTTTTTAGTGTGTTGTTTTGGTTAGCATGGACATGTTTTGGAAACAACAGATGAAATGAGAAACGAATTTGGAAACATATGGAAATATTTAGAAACACAAACTAAAACCTGTCGAGGTCTGTGCATATCTTTACATAAAGGGCACAACTATGCAATCCTGAAGTAAATGCTATCCAAGAATTGTTATACAATCTGGATGTGTAAGAAGGTGCATAATTCAGGATTGCATAGTTGTAACAAAGAAAGAATTTTAAGTGATTAAACATGCTTGTTTATCTTCTCCTCTCTCTCCTTTCCTACTTCCTAATAAATTTAAGAATTTTCTTTGTTTTTAAATGCCTTTCTATTAACAAAAAGCGGCAAATAGAAATAATTATTGTTGGATATTCATAGTAGGTGGTGAAAGGACTCATTGTTTCATTGCCTTTTTAATGCAAACACAGGAATTTCGGTATTGCACTAGTTTTTTGTGTTGGTTGCTAGGAAAAGGAGCCGTTTCAACCACTTGATGGAAAGAAAACAATGTTTTGTTCCTTGCTTGTGTCTGATTTTTCAAAATGTTATGAGAAAATGTCATCAGTTAAGATATCTCTGGAAGCTGTAACAAAGATTTCAAAAAGGCTAGACAGTTAAGTGATTTTGCAGCTCCATGGCCTGCATCTCGTTAATGTTTTTCATGGTGAATGGTTTTTCGGTTCGTATTGGGGAGTTGTGTTGAGATTTATTTTGTGAATTGTAAGGCCTATATTTATATATATATATATTTTGAAGTTTTTGCGTGTTCTTATGGCTTTGCATTTTTGGTTGTGGTATGTGTTTTTGTTCTACTCTTGGTATGATATAATGAAGTTTTGTTAAGTGATAGGTTAGGTTATTTATCATAAAAGAATATAAATATATTTTTGGTTGGTGGCAGTTACACACTGGGAGATCCAGAGGTGGAAGAATAGAGCAGCAGTACTCAAAACATGTACATTGTGAACTGAAAGAGGTTGAAGTACACGGTTTCTTGGGGAGATCAAATGAGATGGAGCTTGCTATTTATTTGCTTAAGAATGCTGTCTCACTTGAGCGAATGATTCTGAGCACCCAAAAGAGATTGTACCATGGAGGTGGAAAGTGGACGAGCTCCCGGTGCCCATGGTTTGAATGGCACATAAAGAAGGCCTGTGCCTATGATTTGCTCCAAAAAGAAAAAGTCAATTCACATACAGAACTACTTTTCTTATGACATATATTTATGCTACAAAAACTATTTAGCTAGAATCCATGTTTTGTAAAACATAATTTATAATTTTTCTTTAAAATTTTAGTTTGTAACTATTTATTGGTGTAGACATGAATATGTGGATGTAATTTATTGGTTAAAATGTTTTTACTAATATTGTCATCTCACAGTTAGGGATGCAACTTGAGCAGACTCAAGTCAAGTCTAGTTTGATAAATTTTATTTCCACTTT